ATATATATTGTTGTTAAGTGCTGTTAGATTGGTTCTGACTCACAGTGACCCTGTATAGGGTTTCCAAGGAGTGGCTGGTGAGTTCGAACAACCAACTTTACAGTTCAGACTGACCTTGTGGTCCACTCTGGTAGCGTCGTGGTTATGAGTCTGGCTGCTAACCTCAAGGTCAGCAGTTCGAAACTACCAGCTGTTCTGCTGGAGAAAACTGAGGCTTTCTGTTCCCACAAAGATTTACAACCTCAGAAACCCTATACAGGTTTGCTATGAGTCAGAACAGACTGACAGCACTTAACATGGTAATGGTGGTTGTCTGTCTCACTATCCTGGCTTCTAATGAGTATTCTGGCTGTACTTCTACCAGCAGAGATTTGTTCTTCTGGCTTTCCCTGGTATTTTCAATAAGCTTCTCTAACACCGTAACTCAAATGCATCAACTCTTCCATGGTCTTCCTTATTCACTGTCTAACTTTTACATGCATATGAGGTTATTGAAAATACCATGGCTTAGGTCAGGCACACCTAGTCCTCAAACTGATATCTTTGCTCTTGAATACTTAAGAGGTCTCGTACAGCAGATTTGTCATCTGCAATATGTCATTTGATTTCTTGATTGCTGCTTCCATGAGTGTTGATGGTTGATCTGATCAAAATGAAGTCTTTATAGACAACTTCAATCTTCTCTCCATTCATCTTGATGTTCTATATTGGTCCAGTGGTGAGAATTTTTGTTTTCTTTACATTGAGGTACAACTGATACCTAAGGCTGTGGTCTTTGATTTCATCAGCAAGTATTTTAAATCTGCTTCACTTGCAGCAAGCAAGGTTATATCATCTGCATATCATATCACAGGTTGTTAATGAGTCTTCATTCAATCCTAATGCTACATTTTTCTTCATATAATCCAGTTTCTTGGATTATGTGCTCAGCATACAGACTGAATAAATATCTCTCTGTCTCCTAGTGATCCAGTATACGTCACTGAAAGGCTTTAAGCAGGCCAGGAATAAAATACAGGTTTTTAACTCATATGAATCAGAGTCCTAGTGTGGTGCTGTGGGTTGATGCACTGGACTGCAAAGTTGTTTTGAACCACAAGGTTGGTGGTTCAAGCTCACTAGCTGCTCCTCAGAAACCATACACAGGGTTGCTATGGGTCAGAACCAACTCAACGGCACTTAACAACAACAACTTGTAATAGATGACTTAAAGACCTCCATAGGCATTAGACACTTTTATAGTTCGAGGCTCCACCCAACACCATAGTGAACATCATAAAATGAATCCCTATTACAATTATTCTTTTAATGAAAAAATTGACTCTGATTTTAAATTATTGTTACTTTTCCATTTTTTTTCAGGTTTTTTAACATTTTGACTTGAGACTGTTAGTTAGGTCCTTGAACAACAGCTCACAGGTCCCATGCATTATGCTATGGTTTTTAATGAAAACAAAATGTCAGATTTGTGCTTTAATCAGATCACACTTTAGAAAACAGACTGGGTATTGAATTGGCAGGATCGATGCTGGGTTTCCAGTTAGGAGGTAGTACTGTAACATACCTGGCGGATGGTCAAGGCTTGAGTGACTGTGTGACAGTGGAGAGAGAGGGAACCGGCAGACTCAGGAGAATCATACTGTTCATAGTTGGGTGAATCCACAGGAGCTGAACACAGGTAGGATTTGACAGGTGAGAGAAGGGAAAAGTCAAGAATCACATGCCCATTTGGATCTTGAACAATGAGGCTATGACCACTATCAAACAGGGCAACCAAGAGAAGCAGCAGCCAATGCAGAAGGAGAGCTCTGGGCATGCTGAGCCTAAGGTGCTTGTGGAACCTACAAGGTAAGAACCAAAACATCTAGAGAGCCCAGTTTGGAGCTCAGGAAATAACTGGATTATTGATTTAGATTTGGAAACCATCAACATTGAGTTAGTGATTGGAAATGCATGTAAGGATAAGGCTGATTGAAATGACAAGACCGACTCAGACCCCAGGGCACACAACAATTTAAGGAAGGACAAAGGAAGAGAGACCACAAAGCTATGAGCAGGAGCCTTCAGAGAGAAAAGAAGTAGATCAAGGAGTGTGGTCTACTGGAAACCAGAGAGAGAGCATTTCTAACAGGTAAGAGTGGTCAGAAGAGTTAAAGCTTCAGATAGGGTGTGAAGCATGCTAACCGATCACTGGGATTATGGCAGGTCACGGAGAGCATTCCTGTCTAGTAGTACTTGACAGGTTATATTAAAAAAAATCAAGAACATCACATCCCTGTTTCATGCCTCATCTGCTTTTTTCTCATTCAGCCATCTTCCAGGTTGGTGAAACTCAAAGATTAGGTGTCTAGCATTCAGATGTAGGTGGTAGTATTGTCTGGTGGAGGGCACATTGGAATGTAGGGGTTGAGGGAATGCTCCTTGACATAATCACAATGATGTATATCCATTCATTATTTGTTCATTGCTTTGTGGTTGCTCTCAGTTGTTTTGAATTTATTAAGCACCTACTGCCAACGTAGGATAAGCACCAGACCACAAGGTTGGTTTGAATCACAGGGTGTGTGTTCAAACCTAGCAACTGCTCCTTGGAAACCCTACACAAGGTCACCATGAGTCAGAACCAACTGGACGGCACTTAGCAACAACAGCCCTATGTACCCAACAGCAGAGATGGAAAGGTACATAAGACACAGTCCCTGTCTATATACGACATGCAGTGTAAATAGTTACACTCCACAAAGTACTCCTGGTGTTGTGAAGATGTCTGTACATAGTGAAGTCAGAGTTCAAGGTAGAGAGAAGTCAGGTGTGCCTGACAGGTGGGAGAACCAGGAAAGGCTCCTGAGAGAAGCTGACTGTAGACTCCAGGCTCCAGGGTGAGCTTTATAGACAGAAGGAGGAACTAAGGCAGAGCCATGGGGTGTGAAGTTGCCCAGCATAGTTAATAGCCCCTCTAGGAACTACTGACCTACCCAGATTTAGTACTCATCAGGGGGGTTGAGTCCTTTTCACTTTCAGCAAGCAAGGTTATATCATCTGAGTATCACAGGTTGTTAATGAGTCTTCCTCCAATCCTGATGCCACGTTTTTCTTCATATAACCCAGCTTCTCGGATTATTTGCTCAGCATACAGGTTGAGTAAGTGTGGTGAAAGAATACAACCCTGTGGCACACCTTTCTTAATTTTAAACCCCTAGTGAGATGGATTGGCAGAGTGGCAGCATCAATGGGCTCAAGTGTGGCAACAATTGTGAGGTTGGCCCAGGATCAGGCAGTGTTTTGTTCTGTTGTGCATAGGGTCTCTGTGAGTTGGTACCGACTCGATGGTACCTAACCAACAACAACAGGGGAGTTGAAGGAATGCCTGAAATGACATCATTCACTCTAGTGGTGTTAATTACCAACCTTGTCCATGCTCAGTTCCAACATCTTTGACCTGATGGAATCCCTCAGCCTTGGGCAGAGCCTCCCTGTGCTCACAGCTCTTTGGACAGCACCCTAATCTGTCCCATCTCCCCCCTACCCCCAACACATACATGCTGCTCAACCTCATTATTCTTGGTACAAGAGTGACATCTGAGGTTTGGTCCTCCCCTTTCATCTCCCAGGAAGGAGCTAGGGGTGTAATCCCAAGTGAGAGGCTTAGGTTAAATGTAGGATGGAAGCTTTTAGGCTACCTCATCAGGGTGGTTGCTAATAGAGTTGGTTATTCAAGTCTTCACAGGTAAGTAAGTAGGTAGTTTGTGACATTCCAGAAGGCTTTTGCTACCCCATAACAACAACCTCATTAACAATTCTCATTCTTCACCATTCTTCCCTATTAGCAGGTGATTTCTATGGGTTAAGCATTGTAGGTGCAGAGGTGGGAAAGCTGCCTTAAAACGTATCTGTTCTCAGCAGGGTGACTCATTCCGACTATTGAGACGGAGCGCTCCGAGCTCCTCAAATCTCTTTTCTCTGCATCTGGAGGGGCAAGGCAAGAAGATGGTCCCCAGTATCTGGAAAGGAAGTATCTTGGAAGGTGGAGAAGGGTATGGGGACCCTAAAGGTCCATTTTGGGTTTTCATCCAGGAATGGCTCTCACCTTCACCCACTTCAGACTGACAGTGGGGCATGCTTGAGATGGTAGTTTCCATGTGGTACCAAGTTTATTCACAACTGCTTCTCACCACAAGCCCTATCTTTTTTATTCTCCGAGAATTAGAAAAGATAGCTTACAGAGGCTAAGCAACTTACCCAAGGTCACCCAGCTGCCAAGGCAGATTAGGTTTCCTAACCCTGGGTCCTGGCCTGGGTAACAGACAGAGGAGCCCAGTGAAGACACACACCCCTGCCTTCTCTCAGCAGAGCCTGGAGGGACCATGTCCCTCATCCCACGGCTCCGATGGAATGAGGCCCCACCGCGGCTGTCGTCCCAGAGCCCAGCTGAGATGGTGCTGGAGACGCTTATGATGGAGTTAGCAGGGCAGATACGGGAGGTGGAGAGGCAGCAGAGGGAGCGTAACAACGCAAATAGGAAGATCCGCACAGGCGTGGACTACAGTTGGCTGGCCAATGCGCCCCGGCCCACCTACGACCTCAGCCCTGGCGAGAGGCTGCAACTGGAGGATGTCTGTGCCAAGATCCACCCATCCTACTGTGGACCCGCCATCCTCAGGTAAGCCCGGGTACTGGGATGGGACCAGCACGTAGCCCGGAAGACTTGAGGGAGGGCGGCTGCAGTGGCCTGCAGGACCCAGTTATCTGTTAGAAGCGTAAGGCAGTAGGAAGAATCTGAAAGAGGCCGTGGAACCCAGGCCAGGGCTAGAGATTCAGAGGCTCTTCAGTTCCCATGGGAGAGAACCCAGGGCCTGTGACTTTTCTATTCTCCCGACCTGAAATATTATTATCCTAGATATTAACATCGTTGGCTCCCTTTTCTTCTTCCGTGCATCATCAGCGTTACCACCTATGGTGTATATCTATCTGTGTGT